AGGGCTTATTTGGAGAGTAGGGCTTATATTATGCGAACACATAAAAAACCATGTCATGGCTTATTTTCTGGATAGGTCTTATTTTGGGGGGAAACAAGATATTTATTCATTCAATTTATCCTGCTGCCTGTCTCAAATAACACAACTCCGGGTGACTAACAACACTTGAAAACAAGATAAAAACATAAAGCAGTAAATACTATAAACTGCCGCTGTAGGCCATCTGACACAATTGACACAGCCATAATATAGATTCAAACACACGCCCAGGGCCCCAGGTTCAGTAACAAAACTAGTTTCAAGATCTGGCCATGAGAGTCAGGGGAATGATATACCAGAGGATGGGCACCACAACAGAAAAGTCGCTCTTCCTGAGTTCCAACAGAAGACACTCCCTAACAGAGGGAGGGGATTTAGAGCATACCTCTCCTGTCAGAGCTTAAATAGGTAGTAAGACAATTCTTTTCCACTAAGGAAGCTGATTAAGAATTTATATTTAGTGAGCATCCTTTAGCCTGCATTCTGAATAAATCTTTTAGAGTATTTTTTTTTACTTGTCTCTAGGCGTGGCTTAAATATGGCCCACTGACATCTTTTGCCTATCCCCATGATGTTGCCTTCATCTTGCGAGTGGGGATTTAAGTCATCCTTAGTTATATATTGTTAAATATAGCTATATTGTTAAAGCAGTCTTTCCCCAATTAATTCAGGCATTTAAACGCACCCTCCACTTATCTAAAATCTTGTGAGGCTTTGTCACCTATTGCCTTAGGGAAGGCAATTGTAAAGAATTGGAACAAAGGTATTAGAACAGGAATCAGCAATGGGTTCAGAAAATTTCATGCTAGTGTTGTTTTCTGCCACCTCAAGGATGGGTGATATTGCAAAATGCACATTTTAGCTGTTGGGCAAACTCTAAAGACAGTGGAGAACACCAGAGCCTGCGTACTGCAGTCCATGGGTTCGCAAGGAGTCAGACATGGCTTAGTGCCTGAACAACAAACATTTTAGCTGATGGAATTAGCATGTAAGAGAAACAGCAACCAAACTCTCTCCTCTTTCCCCACAAGAAATATCAAGAAAAAAAGGATAGTCCATTGTTGTTTGGAGCTTCACATGCAAGCTTCCCCTTGCTGAGGGGACAGAAGAAACTGATATCTCTATTATACATAATGTTTGCATCCATCTGGCATGACTGCTGCTCCACTGTCAGCATTATCTTTCATAGGCAGTTAAGCAGTGGTGGGATTCAAGTAATTTAACAACCGGTTCTCTGCCCTAATGATTTCTTCCAACAACCAGTTTGCCAAACTGCTGAGAAAATTAACAACCGGTTCTCCCGAAGAAGTGCGAACTGGCTGAATCCCACCACTGCAGTTAAGGTAATTTTCTTCCAGTTTAGTAGTGCCATCCTTGAATTGGCAAAATCTTGATCTTGTGATGCTGGAATGCCACAAAACTGAGTGGGCTTTTCTTTTCTTTTTTTCCCCCATTCACAAATTTTTTGTTTTGTTCACCCTGCCTCCCATAGTCTGGACTTGGAAGAATAGAATAGTGGAAGGATTTTTTGCACACTTTTGTTGGATTGTAGAAAATCCTCATTAGCTCATGGGATTTCCTGCCTGCTCCCAACCTTGTCAGATTACTGGGAGGTAATACAATAGCAGAGCTGACTTCAAGACATTTTGGAATGATTACCGAATAAGAATCTCATTGATGGAAGGATCTGGATAATATTCTTGTTAATTTCATTTCTTAACCATTAAGGAAGAACTACAAGACCACCAAACTAGCATTTTCCTTTTCCAATCTCAAGCTCAGGAACCAGGGAGAGAGCTGAGATAGCATTCCTACCATTGGGGAAACAGAATCACAGCCTCTTAAAGTAAATAAAATCTAGCAGTCTTAACTTTTTTGAACCAGAAATAAGTTGATTAGTATTTTCAGTAGTACTGAAATTAGAGAACTGGAGCTGTTTTCAAACTGTTATAGAAACTTAAAATGGAGGTACCCTTAATCTCTGAACAAAAGTATGATTTCCTAAATACAACAGGACAGTGATGGGTAATATTTGATACTGTTGCAGGTGGTTTGAAAATCCTCTTCTTGTGTGTAATTAAGTCACAGTACTGGTATGTTGGAGAAGGCCCCTTACCGTACATAGCAGCCTCAGCTAAATAGATAGAGAAGCGGTGACAACTTTCACTACAGGGTGTGGCCTTGGTTTTACCTGACTTTCCAGTGTTGTTCTAAATAGAACAACAGGAACAATTTTAAGGGAAAAGAATATACAAGATGCCTGATGTTCTCTTTCTTAATCTACATATTAAGATGTTAAGAGTTAAGCTTTAATCATTTAGTCACATTTCACATAGGTCTCCATATAAAAATCTTCAGGGGGCCAAGGCAATTTTTAAAAAAACAGTAGAGCAAATGCTGCTATGTAGACTCAGGATTTGATTGCTGCACATATCCAGAGGTTTCAAGGCTTAGCTATTGAAAATTTCTGTCCTAAAATCTCTAATTGCATACTCAAGAATCTCCAGCACTGTCTGTGTTGGCACTTGTACTTGGAAGCATACAACGGTCAAATATAAAAAGGTCAATTGTTGAACCTGAGTTATAGTAACAGTTGGCTTGTACACTGTAGTAGGCTATGGTTTGTTTAACCATTGTTGATTGAATAAATCACAAGTGGCTAAATTTGCAAGGAGCAGACGAAGGTTTGCACATCACATTGACTGGATTTAAAGAATATGTAAACCAAACAATTTACTTGATAGCTAATGAAAGCTTTCACAACTTTTTCATTTTTTTAAAAAAATGGGAAATTTTTACAATTTACCTATCATTCAAGATTTTTTAAATTTTATTGATATTTTTAAATTTAAATTTTAAAATTGACGCTACTATCTATGGGTATGCTTGTAACACAACTACTTTGAATGGAAAGTGAGGGAAAAGCTATCATGGGTTGAATCAAAGAAGCCCATGACAATACATGCCAAAATGGAGATTCTTTATTCTGGAGAGCAGAGAAATGCATTTACACTGATTTTTGCTAATTTAATTGAAGCCAGTTAGAAATTATTCAAAAAAGTTCAAAAGAAGTTATTTAAAATGAATGAATGATGCATTCCAGTTCATCTTTCATGTAACACAGTGCACATATATATATACCGTGTTTCCCTGAAAATAAGACCCTGTCTTATAGTTTTTTGAACCCCGAAATAAGCGCTTGGCCTTATTTTCGGGGAGTTCTTATTATTTTGGGGCGCGTGAAGGAAACCAGAGGAAATAGCGGGGACCGTCTGCACATGTGTTTAAAGATTTTCAGGGAGGGCTTATTATCAGGGGATGTCTTATTTTAGGGGAAACAGGGTATATATATATATATATATATATATGTGTGTGTGTGGGGGGGTATTTATTCAGTTTATTTGTCTCACAAATAGTAAATAAGTGAAATCAGCAAAGATTGAGATAGTTAAGAAGATACGTGATGCTTAAATTTTATTTCTTTGATGATGAAAGGCTCTTAATTGCCTAGTAGATATTAACTGGTTTATATCTCAATAACTAAAACCAGAATACAGTAAACACAGAATATACTTGTGTGAGGTGTAGTAGTGGTGCCACCTTGTGTCTCAAAACTTGAACATTCATCTTCTAATTAATGATAAAAGGTCTCCTGAGATGCTTAGGAATTTTTCCTTCAGATTTATAGATAAACCAGCAACTTACATGAAGATTATTACAATTGTTCTCTGCTATATAATTAAATATCATCATGGACAAATACATACAGGTAGTCCTTGATTTGCAACTTGTTGCTTAGTGAGTGTTTAAAGTTATGATGGACCCACCAAAAGGAATTTACGACTCAGTTCCAAAGTTCTCCCCCATCACATTGCCACTTTTGGGGACCTTGGCAACTGGCCTGCATTTACGGCCTTTTGCAGCATAAAGGGACACAGGCTCCATTATGACTGTAAATTGAGGATTACCTGTATATGACAGAAAACCCAACTTCAATAAAACTATTACAAGTATAGGGATCCTGGGGTTTTTTCTGCATTATCACACTACTCTCTAAATAAAGCTTTGCCATTTCAGATTTCCACCTTCCCTTATTGCCATCAATTGAAGGGCAAAGAGAAAGGTAGTATCCTGTTACAGTTGGATTTTCTTACTGATCACATAGAATCATTGTGACCAGATGCTTGGTGGGGAAGATCGCAAAAGTTGTTTTTGCCTTTACAAATGCATAGTCTTCAACTATATCTTAAAATGTGGAATAGGAAGTGTATTGCAATATTTCTTTTGAATATTCCATCAAACCTTAGATCCAATTCAAAGCCCCACCCCTTCCTCAGATTGCTTCCTTTCATAGCTGAATAAACTAAGAAGTGTGTTTATAACCAAAAAATTGCAAACATATTCCTTTGAGTAAGAATTGGAAAAACAGTGAAAATGTGACTTTGTACACCACTGGATTTTCCATAATATAAAATCAAAACAAGAATTTTCTTCTATCATAAACCTCTAAAAATCCATTTGTTTGTTTTGTATATGTGTGTGCGTATTTGGCATCAGTGTATTTTTAGATAGATAGATAGATAGATAGATAGATAGATAGATAGATAGAGATAGATAGATAGATAGATAGATAGATAGATAGATAGATAGATAGATAGGCAGGCAGGCAGCTTTTATGAACAATGCACAACTCTTTGTAATCTGAGGGCTGTAGGCAAAACGTTGATCAAGTTTTTCTTCAAACTGAGAGCAATTCCCTGTGATGTGATCTGGTACTAAGACCACAAATAATTTAAAAAGCAATTTTCTGCTCCCAAGATGCATTATAAATGGCTCTCTGCATGAAAAGACAAGTTTTCTCTCTAGACAAAACATGTATCTCTTGTTTTATAAAGCCCTGAGGAATACCTGGTTTAGATCTTTTAACTTTTGAATCCAAAATTCTACATTGAAAGCGGTGCTTGTTTTTTTTAATGCAAAAATTTTAATTACTGTACATTTTGTATAATATATTGTAGAATAACATATCTTATTGCACAGGCTATATTAGTTATACACAAATATTGTTTCACTTGAAGCTTTGTTGTAAGGATTTAAATTTTGAAGATTTTCAACAACACTTGAACAGCAGTTTTCCAATTGTCCTGTCCTGCCATAAAAATATGGAATCTCTGAAGTAAAAAAAAATAAAAATTGGGAAAAATATAAAAAAATAGCCAAATATAAATGATGTGCAAAGGCTGGCCTTGATTGTAGGGGAAACACCAAAAACTCTAAAATGAATAATATGATTATTATGACCAGTACTTAGAGAAGTGTAAAACTGCACAAATTAATTAAAACAGCCCTTCAGGAACATTTATTAATTTTTCTCTTAAACACAGTGGAGTTTTTAAAATACTTGGGCTGAGATTTTTTTCATGTTAATTGTAGGTACCTTTGGGTTGGATTTCACCAATTAGCTTGCTAAATCATTGCCTTCAAGGGAAGTATAATACACTACACAGATTTCTACTCTCTTTATAGAAGACTGTAAGGAAGATGAAATAGGAAACCCCTCTTGTGGACAAAGAATCCTTTTTTCTTTATACTTACACATATGTGTGATCTTATTACAAGAGCTAACACATTCATGGCAGTTCTTGGCCAAGATTCAAAGGACCAAGTGATGCATTTTACTTACCCACAGGGCTGATTCAAGTCCTGCATTCAACAAAGCCCATCTTGATAGTCAAAGGGTTTTTCAGAGAAAAGTATTTTGATGTACTATGAGGAGAGGGGGCTGCAGCTGGAAGGGGAAGAAGTGACTATATACTGAAAGCATTTTGGTTCTTGGAATATTAATTTACCTTGAGTTTAAAGTCAGAAACAAAAAAAAGAAAGGTCATTAATTAAAAAGCTTGAGATCATATATCACACTAATGATTGATTTTGATTCTGACTTATTGTATTGCATCCATAGGATATACAGTATGTTTTTATTTACGTCCATACAACATATCTTTTATCTTTTATTATGATTGTGCATGCTGTGCTTCCTTGAGATCTCACCTTTCTTGCCAAATGGTAGTTGGGAGGTAGGAATGATATCTGGTGGTGGAGAGGGTATGAAATCTTTTGTTTTGCCTGGGACCCAGGTACCATCAAATGACAGGACACATCAATTTCTCTGTTTAGGTCAGGGGTCACCAACCTTTTGGACCTTAGGGACCACTAAATTCATAATTTTAAGTCCTGTGGACCACTAATATGATCTGTCTAATGACCGACTGGGTGGTCGTGGCCAACTCGATACCATTCACGTCAAGGGGCACCTCACCAGCCTCTACTCACCCCTCCCCTCCCACTCGCTCCTTGCCTGTCCGCCTGGGCTCCTTAGGGCCCCAAAAGGAAGCAGTTGTTGGAGTTAAGCAGCCACCACAAGAAAGAGTTGGCAAAACAGTTCAGTTCAAATTGGATCTGACTGAGAAGGAGGCTCAGCAAAAGCACCTCACTGAGGATTAGGAGCATAGGCTTTCCAAGCAGAGGGAAGGCCTGCGGGAGTGCAAGGCCAGGTACCGGCGCCTGGAGGCTCAGCGGGCTGAGATGGTCAGCCAGTTCCAGGCCATGAGGCAGTCCCACTGGAACAAGGCCTTCCGGCTCTTTGCCACCAGCAGCACTTTCCTCCAGCCTTTGCCCAAAGCCCCACACCAGGAGGCTGAAACAGACCCCAAGTCGGAATTTCTGCCCCCCTCCAACCCGCACAAAAAGTCCCCGGAGGGGGAGACTCTCTGCAGGAACACAAACGTTCATTGAACGTATCCGGCCCAGGGGCCATAGTTTGAGGATCCCTGATTTAGTGAAATGCAAATAATTTTTTTGCGGACCATCAAAATTTTCTCACGGACCACCAGTTGGTGACCGCTGGTTTAGGTTGTCACTAGCTGCTGAAGAATATACTTCCCCCAAAGAAAGAGATGAAGTTGCGCTTCCATCTCTGAAAAAAAAACAACATTGAAAATGCGTAACTAAAGCAATAGGCCAACGTATGAGCAGGTATGTTGAAAATATGCCTTCTTTTTCTAGTTGCTTTTGCTAAAAGCTTTAAATTTGCTTCAATTGCTATGCAGAGATTTCTCTTCAACACTTTAGGAATATAATTTATTCCTTTCATACTCTCCAAACCTTCTAAAACTGATTCACACTAACCCACCAGGCATATTTTCTGCTGCCAATTTTACTCTATCAACCATTCATTACAGTTTACACTTAATCAAAGGGACAATGCCAATATTCGTACCCAACCAATGTCCCACTTCTTTAAACACATTCCTGTGTGAAGTATTTGTAACTTGGAAAACAATAATGAACTTTTGCAATGAGAGGGCCAAACATCCAAGATGCTATTCATCTCTTCAATTGAAAATCAGTTTTGAGGCACTCATAGTGGCCTGACAATACCATGTTGGGAATGGGAACAGCGTAGAAGCTGAGAAGTGGGATGAAGTAAGAGTAACCTGACTAGGTGGCTCAGTAGCTAAGACACTGAGCTTGTAGATCAGAAAGGTCGGCAATTCAGCAGTTCGAATCCCTAGTACAGGTCTCCTGCATGAGCAGGGGGTTGGACTAGATGACCTCCAAAGTCCCTTCCAACTCTGTTACTGTTATTTCCAATCAAAAAGTAGCTTATCCTCAAGCACTATAGTGCTTCTAGTTGAAAATTGGATCTGGAAAAATTCCTGTTATATTGCAATTAAACCAGAAATAATTAAACAAATTGGTTCAACTGCCCAAGAGAGATGAAGGCATGGGATTCTATAAAGATCTGATTGAGGAGCAGCAAAAATATCACAGCATAGGTGTCTTGAAGTAACTTTGGAGTATATAAGGGATAGCATAATCTTACAAAGCTATCAATTGATGTAATGGAGGTTGAAGAAAGCAATGTCAAATCATAAGCTCCATCACTCTGTACATGTGTCGTGATATTACATGCGCATATGAAAGCAGTGGACCTTGAATCTGGACAGTACAACTCTGCTTTATTATTTCTATGAAAGCAGTTTAATAGATTTTTTTTGGGGGGTGTCTTATCTTTCATGCTGATGAAGTAACAGAACAATTACAACATGTACTTCTGGTGCCGTGGAATGAGCAAGCAAAATATATCCCTATGACTTTTTCAGGTTCTGCAAACTATGCCAAGATGCTGACAAATCTCCATTCTGGACATCAAGCTTCTCTATGTGAACCCAATTCTATAAGCAATTTCTTCTCAGAATTAACTCGCTTCAAAATCTGGATATTACTGATCATTACAAAAACCAATGTTCCCAGATGTTTGGGCTAAACGCAACACAGCAATAGGGGTGTGCGTGTCTTGCTGTTAATCTTTATAGTAATCTTGCTGCTGCAAGAGAGCATGACATTCCCATTCTTAAATAGTGATGCCAGAATGTTGAGTGCTGGCAGACTGAGAGAAATAAGATTTCTCAACAGAAATGGTGGTGCCATAAAAGCTGCTGTGAGAAGGTTCAGAGGTCATGGCAGTTCAGCAACACAATTAAGAATGGCCATGGAAGACAGTGCCCATGACTGGAGAGAAGTCAAGACATGCAGTCAGAAGAAGTCAATAGGGGCCCAGTTGCTGATTCTGTCATCACCACTATTGCTGCCAAAATGCTAGAACTATTATACAGTATACAACAAGGTTTATAATGGGAGAAGATAAAAAACTTCACTTCTATATTAGTTCAAGTTAGCTGAAAATCGGGGGGGGGGAGTGGTTCTCCTACAAAGATGAGTTGAAAACAGTATCATTAAGACATGTCCTTGAAAAACTACTAGTGAGACAACTTTGAATTGCATTTGGGGGAAGGAGACCTGTGGATGAGCCATAAATCACATATTAAACCATATAACTTGGGCTCATTGAACACACCCAACTCCAAATACAGATATCTAGTTTATGGTTCAGGGTGTAAGGCAAACATAGCCAGAGCTTCAGAATTTTCCTAAGCTTGGAAAGGATGGAAAATGTGTTGTTGAAAATTCTTATAAGAGTCCTCTATATTGTTAATAGTTTTAATTCTCCTATGGGCTTGTTCCAATTTCTCTACATCTTCCCAAATAGGCAGTATCAGGAACTAGATGAGATATCTTAGATGAGATCTGACTACTATATTGTTCTGCAAAACAAAGTGGAATTAATATTTTTCACAATTTGGAAACTATGGTTATATTACTGTATCATAAAAATTATGTTAATCTTATTTGCATCTCCCTTACACTGCTAATTTATTTTCAGATGCCAGCTGTGATCCTTGTGTTTTGTTTGTAAAGTATCATAGTACGTCCCTCCTTATAGTATGCATTCATATAACAAATTAATCCAAAAAAATGGTTCACAGGGATCTATCAATCTTCACATCTCCTTTTGTATGCTGTATTTCAACAAATGTTTGAGGCTAATTGTATGTTGGACACCATTTTGAATTATCCATAGGTTGCACAGTGGCTACAAAGTCTGGTTTGTACAAACCAAAAATGGAGCCATTTCAGATTCAAAAGGTACAGTAACAGTACGCATCAAACCAGGAAACATTTTAGCAGTTTTATGCATTGCATTATACCCTGCCCTACAGCCTGGAAACCATTTTTATTCAGCACTATTACAATATTTGAAAACCAGAAACACAGATAATAATAGATTATCTTGAAGCCTGAAAAACATTCTTGCATTTCTTTGCCAGAGAACTAGGAATAGTCAGATCAGACAAAAAAAATGGTACTGCTTTTCCATTGTAAATTTGATGCTGTTTCTGGAATTTTTCTGATCATTACCACACTCCATGAATTTGACTTTTCTTGTTCCTTTTTCCAACCACTCAGGGCTATAATAATAGTGCCCCATATATATCACCAGATAGATGCCTGTGAAAAGTGGGGAGGATTGTCTTCCATTGACAAGAAAGAATCTACTGAAAACAAATAAAACAAGGGCCCAAGGTAGAAAAAAAAGGAGATACTGCTGCTGAAAAGCATGAATTTGAAGATTAGCATAGAAGGAATGGCCTGTTGAATTTTAGCCTCTTTTGTAATGCTTTATAGAATAGAGAATATTCTTTTCTTGTTTCTTTTCTCTTACCTCTTTCCCTTCTACTTTCCTTTCTCACAATAGCTACCGGTACCTGTTCTCCTTACTCTACCTCCATCCTGTTTTCTTTTTCCAATGAAAAATGTGCATTTGTATGAGTGGTTTTTACACATAACACAGCATAGCTTATTTATTCCATTTCTATCCCGAGGCAATTCAGAGTGATTCTTGAATAACTGGTATGCACAGATATGGGACCATTTTAATTAGTAATTATTAATTCATCATATATGCAGTTTTACCCTGACTTAACCTTTCGTGGAGTGTGGTTTCTTGCACGTATATACACATACAAGAACAAAGGAGTGCTCACATTTTTGCTGAGAAGACAAGCCCCTAGAATTAATTTCAGGTTGGGTTGACAAGGATTGAAAAAGCAAGGCAGTATATATTTTTACCTATCTTCCGCTTCATCTTCTTTTGGGGAGAATGATTTATATTCCGATTTTTTTTTCTTCATTTGAGATAAACACAGTATCCGTAAAAACTGCCTGAATCATTGTGGGTGATGAAGACAATTGTAAAGTTCCTTGTTTATCAGCGTCTGGTTTACCACACATTAACACTGCAGTGTATGCACACATTCCTGGAAATCCTCTCTATATAAACACCAGCAGTGTTTATTACTGGGTAATAATTTATGAAGCCTTACAAAAAGGTAGCAAACTAGTTCTCCAGAATTTTATCAGATGCCTGTTTTTGTGTGTGTTTTTTGCATAGTCTCTTTTGCTAGAGTCACCTCAAAAGTTTCTGGGCTTTTGTTCCTGTGGTTGGCCCTAATCAGTGTTACCCAAATCGTGAATTCTTTCTCTTGAAAGAATTCAAGAGAATTTGCTCCCTTTGTTCCTTTATTATGTTTCTAGGAGGGCTCTTCTGTAAAAGATTTTTCCTGCCCTCCCCAATTTGGTTTTCATCTTTGTTGTTTTGGGTCCCACAGGAGTTACAGGAACTGTAGAAGTGTGACTGGTTACAACCGTTTGAAGTGCTCGGTGCCCAGGCAAGCAGAATACACACAACAAAGAAAAAATCGCGACCACACTATTCGAGAGCCAGGCGGGCGTGCAAAAAGGAACGTTGGTTGGTTCAAATGACTTTTACGCTCATAAAATTGTGAGGGACGCTAAAACGAGCTGTGCTTTTTTAAAAATATATATCTATACATTCAAAGATTTTCCCCTTTGGCTTTCAACGTTGTGCCCGTCACCGCCCCGGTACGCGCCCTGAGGCAAAGAGAAGAGATTAACTCCTCTTTGAAAAATAGTCCCTCTTTGTTCACCGACTATCGAGATGGCGGAGGAGACGATATCCTTCCGCGGGCGGGCTCGCCTCTTCACTGCCGCGGAGGGAGAAGACGAACGGAGCGCTGATTCGACGCGGCCGGCCCGGCTTGAGGGGATTGTACCGTTTGGAAGGGAGGGGAGGGGAGGAGGAGGAGGGGCTGCTTCTGCTGCTGCTGCCGCCGACGTCGCCGCCGAAGCAGCTCCTTTGTGTTTCCCACAATGCACCAGCTTCTCCTCCGCGGGAAAGCAAAATGGCGAAGGGTTGTTGTGGAGCCGGGCTGCCCGTGAGGCTGCCTCGGGCTTGAGCCCCCTTGTTGGCTTCCCTTCCCCTCCTCCCCCTTCCCCCCGCGCGGGTTTGCCCTTTCGAAGGGCGGCGAGAAAGCCCGGCCGAAAAGCGGCTTCTGGGGCTAGAGCGCATCGAGCGCCATTGATTTCCCTGCATGAAGCGAGTGGCCCAACTGGAGAGACCGAATGAGGTGAGCGAGAGGAAGGAGGGTCAAGGGAGGAGATCAGCGATCTATTATGGATCGCGGGGGTCGGGATGGTGGGAGGCAAGAGGATGGGAAGGGAAAGCGGCTCTCTCCCGTTTCCCGGCTTTTTTTTTTTTTTTTTTTTTGGGATCCCGCCATCTATTGATTTTGAAAGGGGAAAGAAAACAACGTTACAACATTTCCGCTCTCCCGGTCGGTTGACGTTGCGGGAAAGGGGACCGAGAGAAATGGCCGAGTTTTGTATAAGGAGGGAGATGTGGGGTGGGTGGGTGTGGGCATCTCTTGCGCTGCAACATGAACCGTAGCTAGGATTGGCTATATGTGTGTGTGTGTGTGTGTGTGTTGTGTGTACACAAACACACACACATATAAATAAAATAATACATAAATATATATATGGGGACGTCTGGGTGTCCTAGGCAAGCCAAACAAAGGCGACAATCTTCGCTAGTGATCATATAATAATATCTATATATCTATATCTATATAAATAAATCATTGAGGAAGTTCTGCATTGCCATAATTTCGGTCTGCAAATGGGACTCGAAATCATCTTTTTCGTTTTTGTTTCCAGGGTCGATAAAAAGAGGTCGTTCCAAAAGAAGGGGTTGGTAAATTTGTTGCTATACTAATAATGCCAGTATACTAGTTCTCGTTATTTTATGTATGATTTATTAACCGATAATTACCTTATTAATTATTTACCTAATTAATAAATGGGACCTAGGGTTAAAGATTTTGCAGCACTGTTCCCCTAGACAGCATTTTATATATTTTTTTCAGTTCAGACAGCTTCTCTTTTTTTCCCCCCCTCTCTCCTGCTTTATGTTGTACAACTGCTATATGTACCCCTTTGTGTGTGTTTTCACAGTTTGTTTAACATAATTAATGAATTAACTTTTTAAGTTTACACAGTATATTGAAATATGATCCATCAAGTGGGATTACACCTCATTTTAAAACATATTTTAAAAATTGACCAAAATTAAAACGAATCAAGCTTTAGCACATTGTACAAAGACAGTTGCTGCCTTTGTAACTGATCTAGTTAAATGTGTTATGGGAAAAGGGTCTATGAGTCAAAAGAAAAAAGGTTTGGTAGTACTGATAAATGAAAAGGCAGCTTTGATCTTGTACAGTGGGGGAGGGGGTAAACAACCTGAGGCCACCTGGAGCCCCTGAGGCTTTCAGTACAGTCCCTAGCACTCTCTTGAACTGTTTTTTTTTTAAAAAATAGAATTTTTAATTACACGGGGAATAACCATGCTGACTATATTTTTTAAATGTTAAATTGAATATTTTGTTTTCATCCTGGCCACCTGTGCTTTGTACTATAGTCCTCAGCACTTCACACACATAAGATCAAATGTGGCTTTTGATTCCCCACCCCCAAAGCTGCATTTCTTTAATGTAATGAGTTGTATATTTTCAATTTGCTTATACACTTATCCTTTCAAATTGCATTTGAATAGTAGTGTACTGTTAATGTCAACATTAACAACTACAATGATATATTAGGAACCCTAAATCTGTGATAGTCAGATTACTAAAAAAATATAAAACTGATAAAATGTGCAAAAAAGGCATAACCTCTCCCCAGAGCAATTACTCTGTGATGAAAGAGTATAATATTTGATGATTCTTAGCTTTAAAATGTTTAGGGAGAGCATTATTTATTTGCAGGATGTGTGTGTTTTGCTTATTATTCCATTTCCTATTTTTTCTTGTTTCCTGGCAAAGCTGTTTATACCTTTTAACAGCATTGTTGTTGCTGTTAAAAGAGCTTGTTACCTTTGCTCTTGCTCCTTTCAGTATTTGTGGAGTGTTAGCCAAGTGACATCATTTTTCATATTAGGAAATTGGAGTTCTCACCATTCACAACTATTCCTAGGCAGTCAAAATAGGTCTTGAAATTCCAGTCAAGAAATGTGGATAGAAAGAACTGGAATTCCACAAATGTAAGTAAATAAATTACAATAAGCTTGACCAGAATTTTAATCAATTGTTTAATTGGGACTGAGCTTATGGGGAATGGAAGAAGTGGGAAAGAGAAATCTGACTGAATAATTGAGACATACTGATGATATGTTAAAAGTGAATAATGTATGGCAGCCAGGTATAAGTCTGTCATTGCTAACTACCACACTTAATAAAGACATTGCTTCTGCTTCTGTTTCGCCTTGCCTGTCACCTGAGTGTTTCACCTGTCCTTTTCTCTCTCTCTCTCTCTCTCTCTCCCTCCCTCCCTCCCTCGCTCTCCCTCCCTCTCTCTCTCTCTCTCCCTCCCTCTGTGTGTGTGTGTGCGTGTGTGTGTTTGCTTGCTTATTAAGATGAGTGTGCAGTTTCAGACTTCTGTTACATTGAATGTGTTCTTGCAAGAAACAAGTTCAAAAACTAACTTAGTGTGTTGTGCAACCCCCCTCCCCCCAAAAATTATAGTTATAACTTTTAGTTCAGTGTTCTGTACAAATCCAGGCAATTAGATTAACTCAGTTAATCGAGATTTAGCATTTTGTGCCAACATGGTCAATCCCTGATAATATCTCTAAAGATATACAAGATACTATTTCTCTCAGTTTAATAGCCTGTCTAATTGTGTCTAATTGTGTATGAATTATTCTGTAGAAGTTTAAAGTAAGCTTATGGAATATATTTCCTGTGTTGCAAAAAGAATAGAACACTGAACTTGGCAATAACACTTTTGTTTGAATTCTTGCTTTCTGACCCTTCATCCTCAGCAAAATTAAAAAGAATCAGGGTTGTTTATTTCTCTTCATATCTTTGCAAATGCCTTAGTTATGATGTATTGTTTCAGTGTTTGTACAAGGGCTCAATGAACCAAGAGAACACTATGTTTGCATAGTGATAGAAATGATTATGGGCTGAATACTGTATTGTATGTAAAAATATGAAAACCACTTACTAGTAACCAGTTGCTGCTAAATAATTTTACATAATGTATGTTACATAGACAGGTTTTTGGTAATGGCCAAAAGTGCTTTTTCTTTTAATAGAAATAATAAGCACTCAAGTCATATATTTAATTGTTAGTCTTTAGGACTATGGCATATTTCTTCAATGTATATTGAATTATAATAAATTTCCAGTTTAAAAAATTACATATTGGCTTCATCTTCTTGTCTCAGATATGTCTGGAGATTAAATATAAGTCTCACTCTCAGTTAAATTTCTTGTGGTTTGAACGTTAGCTATTAATGTTTTAGAAGTTGCTCATGTTCATTATATATGTCTATATTTTAGAGACTCTACGGGGGTGGGTAATTCAGTGGTCCACAAGCGGTCTCCTTTGCACCGAAACCAAAAACCACCAATATCCTTGACCAAACTCTCCTCACGGGATGGACAAAAATCCAAAAAGCCAGTGTGCAAATTTGAAGAAGGTCAAGATGTCCTAGCCAGATGGTCAGATGGCTTGTTTTATCTTGGAACTATCAAAAAGGTAATCCATTTTTAATTAACCTACTAGCTTAAAACGTCTTATGGCAAAATTGCAAATTGCTATTATGGCTGCAAATTTATTTTTATTTCAGATAAACAAACTTAAGCAGAGCTGCTTCGTTATATTTGAAGACAGTTCCAAGTCCTGGGTTCTCTGGAAGGACATACAAACAGGCAAGAACCTTATATCATGATGGTGATAATGATTTGATCCTTTAGTAATTAAAGTAAAACATGGGTTTACTATACTATTTCCAAACTCCTTCCAGTTGAGATTCAGAGTGCAGCAGGCATGAGGAAAGGGTTAACCATTCTTCAGCTGTCACTTATCTATAGTGGTGAGTGGTAAAGAGGAAGGGGAGCTAGAAATGTAATTGATCTAAGTAGAGATGAAAATTATAAGGGGAGCAACATGCTGAATGCAAAATATGTGTGGCCCATATATAACCCAAAGACATATGAATTGCTGGATTTATAGAATTCATAGGTCTCTCTTATAACTCATGATCTCAAATACACCAGTCAAACCCCAACTGAACTCACACTGTTCTAAGTCATGGTTCACAGACCAGAGTGGCTGAGTTCACATATTATGCAAAACAAAACCCAAATCACGTTATGTCAGGACTTAGCAATCAGTGTTCAAAATGTAAAATATATTCATTTAGTATGAAGCCATGCCTTTTTGTTGTTCTAGGAGCTACTGAAACGGGGGAAATGGTCTGTACAATATGTCAGGAGGAATATTCAGAAGCACCCAATGAAATGGTTATATGTGATAAGTGTGGTCAAGGTAATTTAAAAAAATAAGTGTAGACATTTTAAAAATGTATTAGTATATTGTGTGCAGAGGTAGTCCTTGATTTACAACTGTAATTGAGTCCATAATTACGATCATAAGTTGTGGCAGTCGGTAAGCAGGTCACCAGTACTTGATTTTGCCCAATTTTGCAACCTCCTTCGCAGCAGTTAAGCAAATACACCGGCTGTTAAGCAAATCCACTGTACCCAATGGGTGTTTTATGCCATAATCTGGAAGGTAAACACTTTTCTCACAAAATGTCATAAATCGTCATGTGAACACAGGGTGCTGCAAAAAGCCATAAATGTGGATCAGTTGCCAAGTGTCCAAAATGCAATCACATGACCATGGGGAGTGGCCATTGGAACTTCGAAACAGGATTGTAGGTAGCTCTGGGGCGGTCTGCGTAACTTCATATGGTTGCTAAGCAATTGGCTATAAGTCAAGGACTACCTGTAAACCTAAGTGCATAGACATTTCTATTGATGCTTATTACATTTATGCCATTCTCAATGTCTCATATTGTGTTTTCGAGTATCAGGACATTTAATTTAAAATGTTTGGTTATAGGTTTTAATGTGGGAGAGGAAGATGTACATAGCTTTATATCCTCTTAAAGAGTTTTTCTTTTTAATTCAGGTTATCATCAACTGTGTCATACACCAAATATCGGTTCTAGTGTGATAGATTCAGACGATAAATGGCTCTGCCGGCAGTGTGTCTTTGCAACAACAACAAAAGTAAGTTGATTGCTTAAAAAACTAATTGCAGTTGAAAATTGATTTTTGTATGGTATTGGATACTAACATTTTCCGGTTTAATGCATTTCATTTTAGAGAGGTGGCGCGCTTAAGAAAGGACCAAATGCTAAAGCACTGCAGGTCATGAAGCAAACATTGCCTTACAATGTAGCTGACCTTGAATGGGATGCAGGCCATAAAACAAATGCCCAACAGTGTTATTGCTACTGTGGAGGTCCTGGAGAGTAAGGAGTTGACATGCTTATGAAAATATATGTTCAGTTTTTTCTATGTTCTCTTTATTTGTCAAGAATATGTGTGAGATCAAGTGTTATGTTTCATAAATATGCCATAAAACAGCTTTATTGAACATAGTACTAGGCTTTAAAATAGTACCAGGCTCTCAGAATACTTTCTATTCTTAAGTTTTTGATGTTTGTATGGAAAAAAAATAGTTAAACTATATTCTTGGATCAAGTTTCATTGAATAAATTTGGAAGTTGGTTGGTTTAAGACATAGTGCTAAAGCATGTCAGTATTTGATTTTGGTTTAGTTTGTTGTATAAACTCTGCCTTTGTGTTATGTTCAATAAAGATGAAGTCTGCAAATGGCAGAAGTATCAATGAATGCATAGTGACCAGTTAATTGACCAGTTGCTTCAGGAGCAACTCTCATATAACTACTATTGGTGTAGCTTTCATTTTATTTTTCTTAAAGCAGCCACTTTAAGGAATGCTAACTGAGCATAACGTGAAATAGGATGGTGCTCCATTTTGCTATAAGTTCATGGATCAGCAAACTGCCATATGACAACATTTCTGTCTAGTCTGTGAACTTTTATTTTTATATGACAGTCTATTTTATATATATATAGATGATTTGATTTTATTAGTTCTAAACTTCATAATCATGTAACCACATTTAATGCTTTTCTGCTAATTTTACTAGCAGGGTATTTACTGCATAACAATCTTTGTTTTTTCTTACTGTTAATGAAGCTGGTATTTGAAGATGCTACAGTGCTGCAAATGTAAACAGTGGTTTCATGAGGCTTGTGTGCAGTGCCTGCAAAAGCCAATGCTGTATGGTGACAGGTAATATGTTTTTCTTTCATCTTCTTTTGTGTGTTAGGTATCCCCTTTGGGAAGGACTGTATTCAGTCCTGTAGTCATATATTCTCCATGGCTGTAACTGTGATACTCTGGGCAAGATCTGTTTAATTTGTACATATTTTAATCTTTTATATTTTAAATTTTATGTCCTTTGGTATGCCTTATTTTAATTGTGATGCTTTTGACACAAACTGTGATATTTACATTGATGCATTAATAAATAAATACGCTGCTATTTCAGTGCATTGTTAGATTTATTCTATTTATGGTCTTCCCTGACTCAAGTTTTATCATAAGGATAAAAACATTTAAAAGATTGATAAGAACATAGACCCAGACTTTTCACTATTTGTTTGAAAACAATCTTTTATTTATCACTTGTTGATGTACTTTAACTATGAAAACAGATTTGGTTTTTGTAGTCTTAAATATCTTGTCAAATGAATTGTTGTCAATACAATTTAAAAGCAAATATGTTCACACACTGAATATGCTTTTTAAACTTCTTTTAAAAGGTTTTATACATTCATTTGTTCAGTTTGTAGTTCTGGACCAGAATACCTCAAACGTTTACCCTTGCAGTGGTAAGTACAACTTAAATCAATATTGGGCAAAAATATTCAGCATTTCATTGCACATCTCTGTAAAGATAGTTTTGTAGTTCCATTATTTGAATGGACTTTGCACAAGTAATTAGAATATGGATATATTATTTTTGTTATCCTCTTCCCTTCTGGTTTCATTTGAGAAAGTGAAAAACAAAATATTTAGAAAGTAGGATTTTTTTTAGTGAAATAGATCTGCATTGTTGGCAGGTGATAGTTGCAGCTGACTTGTTCTGGCCATCTCGCCGCAGCTGTCTGGACAACTCGCCATGGGACAATTCAGCACAGGATAACTCAAGAGAGGGGCAAGTAAAATTGCAGCTCACCCAGCCTTGAGGACTTCTAACCTGAGAAGGTTCAAATGTAAAGCAAGACAAGGCCCACTGCAATTCACTTATCCCTCTCTTGAATTATCCCACATTGAATTGTCCTGCAGCGAGTTGGTCAGGGTGAGTAGGTCAGGGCAAGTTGGACAGGACCATTCAGCTGCAATGAGTTAAACAGTTAATGTTCTTAAATTTAAATGTTAAAACTTACTAATTGTTATTTAAACTTCTGAATTCTAGGGTAGATATAGCACATCTATGCCTTTACAACCTAAGTGTTATTCATAAAAAGAAATATTTTGATTCAGAACTTGAACTCATGACATACATTAATGAAAATTGGGATCGACTCCATCCTGGTGAAGTAAGTTTTTGAAATATTGAAGTTGTTTATGTGTTTCTATAGTTCAAAAGATCAAACAGTTAAACTGTGTAGATATATTTTAATAATTGTTCAATCTATAGTAAAATTGTACTAGATGTAAAGTTTGTTTTCCTGGTTAATGTTGACATGCTTGTGAACTGTTGTTTTTGAGATTATTTCTTTTGAGTGTTTTATTTGTATTAAAAAAAATCTTAAGATTTGAAAGTTAATGTCAGATGCAAAAGATCAGATCCACACATGAAGATCCAATTAAACATTTATTGCTACTTATGCCTATCCACAGGAATCTTCTCAACTAATGGTTAGCATTTGCTTGGCATTATATAAGGGTCAACAGAATTCAAGAGAGGTTAGCCTTAGTTTGCTTCTGGCCACATAGGGATTCTAGGCTGATCCTTCTTTTAACTGTGCCCCCAGGTTCTGCCGTTCCTACAGTTACACATAATCCACATATTTTGTCTATTTTATATATGGTAATAAATAAAGTGTGGTCTTGTAACTGATAGAAGTTTGAATTTTAAAGCAACTTTATCTTTTTTAAATAGATTTTTTTCAATAAAAATGTTTATATATGTAGTCCTTACAATCTGTTACTTCAAAGCTACATCAAATCTCCCCAGAATATTTCAGTATTAAAACTATATCCATAAATACAAGTGATATTTAGCAGTTCAGATAGATACAGAACAATTTATTCAATGCCTTGTTTGTAGAATAATGAAGATAACTAAACTTCTGTTCCCCTCTTATTTGTTAATATACTACAGTAGGTATTTTAGAATTTTGCCCTGTTACATAAGAAATTCTAGAATGCTGCTGTGTTTTATATTTCTTTGAATTGTTAAGTATTGTTAAGTATTAGTGCTTATGGATGTTACTGCACATTTCAGTAGATTAAATCACTTCTTGATACTTTACAGCTGGCAGACACACCAAAATCTGAAAGATATGAACATGTTCTAGAGGCATTAAATGATTACAAGACCATGTAAGTCGATAAGGGTTTTATACAATTTTCTCTTTTATTTCCTTTAGTTTAATCAGATAATAGTCTAAAGTTGTTTGAAGTGTTATCTAAAAACGTGTAGCTGCAACAAAATTATTGTTTATCTAAATGTTTAAGTCAGATTTTATTCTGAGTAGAAGTTATAGGAAGGTTTACTTATGTTTTTCCCAATGTTGGCATTTGAGCAGGCTGTGAGTAGTGCCATACGTTTGTTAATAAATGGAACTGCATATCTAAAGAAATGAATTTTGTCTTCATGTTCTGCATTTAATATTTTGAAATGCAGGTTTATGTCTGGGAAGGAAATAAAGAAGAAAAAACATTTGTTCGGCTTAAGAATTCGTGTTCCTCCTTGCCCACCAAATGCTGCTTTTAAGGCTGAGAAAGAACCTGAGGGAACTTCCCATGAGTTCAAAATTAAAGGCAGAAAATCATCTAAACCTGTGCCTGATCAGAGGTAAATAGACTAAAACTGAATAAAATGACAGACCAAGCTGAAAGAATTGTATGTAGACTCCCAACAAAGACTAACTGGAAATAAGCAGAGTCCTAAAGGCTAGGGAGTCATGTTAGGCCAGGTTGAGCTTGTGCAGTTAGAATAGCATAAAGAACCAATTTCGTCTAGTAGTTAAAGCACCAGGTTAGAAACCAGGAGATTTGTTAGTTCTAATCCTGCCTTAGCCATGAAAGCTGGCTGGGTGATTTTGGGCCAGTTACTCTCTTAGCCCAATTCACCTCACAAGGCTGTTGTTATGAGTAAAATAGCAGAAAGAAATATTATTTAAGTCTGCCACCTTGAGTTATTAAAGAAATAATGAAGGTGGGAAATAAATAGAAGATGTAATTCTAATAGCTATTGGTACTTTTGTCCTTACATACAGTACCATAAAAATGCTCAATCCAAATAGGTATTATTAAGTAGTAGTACAAAGCATATGATGTATCTATCCAGATCAAATTAGTAGTTGGCAAATACAAGCTATGTGTGATCTTAATACAGAATTGGCCAAGAGTTAAATGAGTAGTTTTGTGCAGTAAACTCAAAACCTGTCTTTATGCTTGAGCAAAATGGCTTGCTAAGATTAGATTAAAGCTTTGACTATCAACAGCAAATGGAAGGAGTATCCTGCATTGCTGGCTGTCTTCTGTAAACTGGGTATCTTCTATAAAATCAGTGGCCTACAAAATAAACTTGCTGAAATCTTGAGATAGGACAGATTGGTAGAGGAACATCAATACCCCATACTACTTCAGTAGACAAGCACATCCCAAGGACGATGAATGGAAGTGTTGTATTTTCTAGTATGAAGGAATGTTGTTTAATAAATTATTCTTAAATTTCAAGCAGTTGTGATAAATCTAATCAGTTTTTAAAAATAATTACACAATTGATTCTTGCAAATATGTGCACAGCACAAGAAGGTTGCCTCTGATCAGCATCTTTCTCAGCACTTCTGTGTTACTTTTATTTTGATGATAGTACCTGAATAATATATTGGCACTTAATTGATAGCTCCTTTGGGTTACCTATAGGGAAAGGATTGGTGCAGCCCTCCTGGTTCTACTTAATTTCTTACCAACCTTTGATAAACATTGATTGTAGTATCTGTCTGAAACATCTCTGGAGATTCGGAGTCAAGGTTACTATGTTGCATTGATTTTCCTCCTTCCTCTGGGGATGGTTCCAACTGGTAACAGTGACAGGAGAAAGTTGAACTCAAATTCTTTTTTTGTATTGCCATAGGGCTCTTTTTCTTCCTATTTAACAGGAAATTGTTGAAAAAGTTTATTTGCCAGTATTGAGTCAAGTATCATCAGTGTTTACAGGACCTAGCTGTATAGCTTGACCCTGGGCTTAACAAGAGAGATAGTTAAGGTGCTATCTCAGTGCCTAAAAGCTATGATCATCTTGGAGAAAGACTCTGGGTCAGTCCCAGCAAATAGAGTGGATGTGAGCATGCAAAACATCTGAGACTAGTGGTATTTCATCTTTCATTCTGAAGAGGGTTGTGATCTCCTGGACTGAAATAGTTCATAAACTGGAGGTTATTTCAGACTCCCAGTTTCTTCTCAGGTCTTTGTAGTGTTCCATTTTGTGCAACAGTTATGGCCTTTCCTGGACCATATACGTTAGTCACCTCTCAGTAGAATTAGTACAATTTAATCTACCTAGGGCTGTCCTTGAAGACCATCCAGAAACTACAAATGGTCCAGAATGCAGTGACACTTATACTTAAAGAGTTCTTTTGACAAGTAACATTACAAGTAACAAGTTGACAAGTAACATGAACTACACTCTTTGCCAGTTGGCTTCTAGTGCAATTCAAGAAACCAACTGGTAATTGCTTACCTTGCTTGAAACTTAAATATCTTTGGGACTCCTTTCTCACAGCAGTTGTGGCTGTTCAATAACATTTAGTGAGGAGAGCCTCCTTTGTCTTTGAAGGATTGCCATCTTCAGGGAATACATGCCTTTTTATTACTTTGTTCCCTCTCCTTTGGAATAGCACTGCAGCCAGTCTGATCAATACTGTTGGGATTTTAGGAAAGTCTTTAAGACCTGAGTGTTTAGTATAATCTTTGGGGATGTGGTATGGTAGATCATCTCTTTGCAGTTGGCAATTGGTACAGTTCTGATTACTTTTCCTCTCTGTAGTGACAGATTAGAAAGTTCTGTGGTTATAGTGCAGAAATATAAATTGAAAGTGGTTTTCTCTGCTGGTTCTAGTGGAGTGTAATTGATATTTTATTGATACCCAGTTTTTATATTTCACTTAGAGATCTATTTTTATGAACAGTCAAAAGATAAAGCATAACTAATACAATTATAAAGGGAATTTCAGAAATGAAATTGTTAATAAATACAGACCAATATTACTGTTTAAAACTAAAACTCTTTTCCAGGGAAGTCACTAATGGTGTAGAAAAAAAGGGGAAGAAAAAGTCTGTAGGTCGTCCTCCTGGCCCATATACTAGAAAAATGATTCAAAGAATGTCTGAGCCATCTATCTTGGTAAGTAGTATACAGGTTTACTTATTTAATAAAATAAGCACTACTTTATTATTTCCTTATTTAATAAAATGAATATGTTAAACTGTCTTTTTAATGTTAACAGAGAGTTGAATATTTACAGAATCTGAAAAAAATCTATCTTATTCCTTTAGGAAAAAGAACCTGTTATAGTGCCAGAATCCCCTATTTTGGATTCTCCTAGCACTACTGGGTATGTATGGGAAAATATTCATTCAGCTTTCTATTCAAACAAAGCAAACACTTCTCTCCCTCTCCCCCTTTGTGTGTGTGCACACACACATACATTCTACGTATGTGATGAAATGTAAGGGGTTTGCATTTCACTATGGTAAATAATGAAGATTAAGATAATTTGAAGAGCGATGTGATGAAAGAGACAACAAAATAAAAAAGGGAAAGGAGACAACCAGTATACAGAAAACAGAAAAGAAATGAGTGCCCTTTTGTAAAAAATATAATCTCTCATTCTGTAAATAAACATGGAGTTTTGTACGTTGGAGCAGAAACACATGCATATGGTCTGTTCATATAGTACTGTATTTTCATTCTACAGGCTTATTAGCTGCCTTGTTTAATGACTATTCGCAGTTACAATGGTGATTGAAAAAGTAACTTTACAACCAGTCCTCACATTTATGACCTTTGCGGGTTTGTAAGCAAAGGAAAACTGAAATAAGATTGGAACCAGAGTTGTGGTTTCACTTAGAGGCTGCTTTGCTTCACAAGCATTTTGCTGGTTCCAGTTGTAGTTGATAAATGAGGATTACCTGCCTTCAATTTTAACTCTCTAAAAGCTGATCTTAAATAAAAGATTGGATTGTAATTCCCTTCCCCATGCCTAATATGGGAGGAGATAATTTCAATTTAAGAACTTGTTTCATTTCAAGGTTCTGGCAATGAGATTTTAACCTGTATTTATCTTAAAACTAGAAAAACAATTATGCCACTTCTGACTGATTAAATCTGGTTTGGCCAAAATTTAATATTTGTCAATTTGATTAAGGCTAGGTTATATGAAATTGTAATATCTATGTCAATTTTTATTGTATGACACCATGATATCATTCAGAAGATCTGATGGAACTGCACACTCATCCAATACCTCAGATGTGGAATCCACAGGTGCTGCCAGTACAAAAGAAACTACCTCAAACAGTATTTCCAAGCATTACAGGTGCAGTATTTCATGTATTACAAACACACCTATATATATAGATTGGTTGTGCTGTTTTTATTTGAAGATACTTGATATGTTGAAGAATCTATACCATCTTGTGTTGTTAACATAAGAGGATTTCATTTCAAGTATGACTTTAAAATATTTGAATAGTTTTAAATTTCTACAATATGCTGATTTCTAATAACAAAAATCATGTAGTAGGAGTGTACTTCTGAATGATGTGTCTGTGTGTTTAAATAAGTTTAAACAAATTGCAGTCATGAGGATCTTTATGATAAAACTGCCAATGTTTTTCAGTAGCATCTCCAAAAGTAGGAACATAGAGAGTGGGCTATATCCACAACAGCAGATTTGGTTAGTTAGCTAGAGCCTCCAATTTGTCAAAGAAGATTGAGTCTTCCCTCCCTTTTACTTCCTTCCATGGAAGTAGTGTAGGTAGCAGCAAAATTATCATTTCCCGCTGATAGAAATTTTAGAGGCGGTTGCATTTATGAGATGCACTGGAAGAAGATCCATGTTCTTGGCAAGCTTACAAGGAATCTGCTTTTCCTCATTTTAAAAATGCTTGACAAATTTAGGAGCAAAAATCAGTTTAAAAATGGACAAGCTAAATTAGTAAATTATGCATCGGTACACTCTGGCTTCCAGTAATGTGGCTGAATGTGTCATGTCTTAAGTAACATTGCTGTGCAGTAGCAAGAATCAAGTTAGCTCCTATCAGCTGTAGTGCTAATATAAAACAAATGCTCCAGAAAAATTACTTGAGTATATATAGTGTTGTAAAAGATAAAACATACATAAAATGTCCATATGAAACAGCCCTCTACATCCTGAGAGCTAAATTGTCTCCAACAATCCATGGGTGAAATGAGGCCATAAATCTCACCAAAATCATACTGCTTTAAGTTTTGTCTCCATTTGATTCATCATTAATTGAACTTTTCTTTGCTGTATCTAACAAAGAAGACATTAAGAATAGAGTAGATTTTGTTGTGGTATTACATATTCTAAATTTTTAAATTAATATTGTATGTGCTTTGCAGTTTATCTGATTCTAGAAAAAGGACACGAACAGGAAGAACTTGGCCATCCACGATACCCCACTTAAGGAGAAGAGGACGTCTTCCACGAAAAGCACTCCAGATTCAGAACCCAGAAATTGTAAAAGAAGATGAAGGCAAAGATGACTATCAATATGATGAACTCAATACAGAGATTCTGAATAATTTGGCAGATCAGGAGTTGCAGCTTAATCATCTCAAGAACTCTATTACCAGTTACTTTGGTGCTGCAGGTAGGATAGCTTGTGGTGAAAAATACCGTGTTTTGGCACGTCGGGTTACACTTGATGGAAAAGTTCAGTATCTTGTGGAATGGGAAGGAGCAACTGCTTCCTGACTATAGTGCTAAATATTATTTCCTGCACTGCCCTTTATCTATTTATAGGCAGAGTTTATACATTGGAGTGCAGAAGGGAACCTAAATGGATATTTGTAAAAATGAAAAACCAAGTTAGCCTTAACACTTCTTGAACAGAACAATTTTTTATCACATAAGAGGCCTATGACTAAAAAAATAAGGCTAGATTCTTAATGTGCTTAAAATGAGGATCTAGACTGTGTTGGGTTGGGAATCTGGGATTTCATTTGCTTTAAAATATTCACAAGTCAAAAAAAGCCTTGTCTCTAGTGTACATTCCATGGATGTTTTTTTGTGAGTAGGGACTATTTTCTGTAAGTAGGACAAATTTTGAAAAAGATACTTGATCTTTTCTTATCCAGAAGTTTGCAAAAGACTATTTCTACTTTGACAACCCTAGATTTTCATACAGTGCAGTGTATATACTTCCTGCTGAGGACTGTAAAATATTAAAATCTTTCAAGCAAAGTGTATAAAATATATATTGAGCTTGTAAATTGCTCTGTGACTAGACTTTGTTGTCTTTTTAATATATTCTTTGCATGTGTATATATACACATACGTGTGCATGTGTATATATGTGTGATTGTGACCTATGCAATATAAATTATGGGATTGGGCAGCTTTTGACTATATATCCCATAATGTCTTTTATCAGGAATAGTTGCAGTATTTACACAGCAGCATTTCTTCTCAGGCTATATTGGGTGCTGTTGTTTGCCACATACTATAGAATATGTGTCAAATGAGTGCTGGGTATTCTGGCAGTAAGTGCAGTCATTAATGTCATAATGCTTTTAGAAAATAATTCAGGCTGCAGTTCTACACATGGGAGCCCAGTGATTTTGGAGTGCCTCTCAGGTTCACATTATCCCTCTCCTGCGCAAATGCCCACTCTTTTTGAAAAACTGATATCAATTACATGAAACCTAAAACCAAGGCTTATTATAGTTGCCTCTAATTAAATTAGTTCTAAGTGAATGGGGAGAAATTAAAAGTACATGCTCTAGTTTTTCTTGTTAAAAATACCTGGAAACAGTGCAGCTATACCAGGCCAGGTTTTTGAGATTGCAGTTCTCAACTCATTTACATTCAACTCAGAAGGATTTCTAAACATGTATAGTATTGCACTGTACAATTCCTTGAAGCAGTCTGGCTGTGCACAACCTTGCAGCATCAGTTTATGTTGGCATGGGGAACCCTAGCTGGTTGAGGCACAGTCTTGAATATTTGAGCATGAGCTCTGTAAAAAAAAAAGAATTCTAATAATTTGTGACATGTTGATTGTAAAATCACTTTCAGTTACTAAAAAACAAAAATCAGCAGGACTCACATTAACAATCCTCTTGGATGTGATGATAAGTATAGTTGGAAGAAAAGGTTTAATTACACAGGGTTAAGTATGTTGCCATTTGAAGTAACAATACTGATTTTATTACAAAATTACCTCTTCTGTTATTAGGAATAAATCAAATTTAAATGGATAACTTTATTTTACTTGTAAAATAACAAGTTTTTTTTTTAACTGGGGTTAGGATTTAGGTGGATAAAGTCAGCAATGACTAGTGGAATAAAATCCGCAGGGACTCCTTTACCTTTATCTTAGGGGCTTTCCTTTACCTGAGTTTTTGATATTTTTTTTAACCAAAGAGTAAATATTTTTACTTTGAAGCTTCTTCCTTTAATTAGAGAAGGTCCATTAGACATGAGTTGCCAACAAAATAAGTTGTCACACAAAAGTTAAATAACAATTGGGGGGGAAAGTTGTCCAATGAAATACTGCTCTGCTCTTATTTATATGATTTGAAAAACAAAAATACTGTTAGGATTATCAACGAAAAATATTTACCATCTTTTACAGAGCCAAAGGAAGAATAAATAAAATGCATTGCCCGGTGCTTGTGATTTTTCAGAAAATTTAGTTGAACAAAGGTGAAAATTAAAATTTACTTCCGCTTGCCTTCACTAAAAATGTGGGTCTCTTCCATTTACTCAATCTCAGCTATTAAGTTGCCTTGCCTAAAGCTACAATATTTTCATAAGAACAGGTTACTTTTTAAATGTTGGTCTTTTGAAATAATGCAAAATGTAGTTTTGTTGTAATTTACAACCAGTTTTTAAATTTTCTTTTTCTGCAATTTTTGTAATTCACATTGAACACCAGCAGTATTTGCAGTAGGGCTTCCATGCAAGATCACTATTGGAATCTGGTAGGGGAGAGAATGTGATAAACTATCAGTTTAATTGTGGATGTGTGTTTTCATTTTGTCATGGTGGTTGACATGTTTGTATTGCTGGAACTGTTTTCTAGAATTCAAATTCAACATTAAATGTGTGTATTTTTAAGAACTTGTTTCTAGTTGCATTTGTTAAACATGCAAAAAAAAAAAAGCTAAGCTCTCGTTTTAAGTTTCTTAAAATAAATGCTGTAGATATTTTCAGTAGATGATGGTAAAGCTAATCTTCTCTCCAATTTTTTTAGGACTGTACCGACAATGTATACTTATCATTCCCAAATTATATTATTACTACTACTACTACTAAAGTCTAGTTGGAAGCACCAAAGTATTTCCAGGTTGAAAGGATTGGACGGTGACATCACTGTTGCCCAGAAGATGCCCAGTTGGGGCTCCTTTCACACTCCATTAAGTTACCCACCAAAGTGGTACCCATTCATCCACTTACAGTTACCTGCTTTCGAACTGCTGGGTCAGCAGAAGGTGGAGCATGTGATGGGAATTCACCCCACCCCATGGTAGCAGCCTGGTCTCGAACACAAGCTTGCCAATTGTCAGCCCAGCATCCTACCTTTGTGAGCCACTATGCCCACCCCAAATTGACTGTATCAGTGCTACTTCTTTTTACATAGTGGTGTAATGACAGCCCAGTGTTAGATATTTTAAGGCAGCCTAAAAAATTATGTAGGGCCAAAAATATTTGAAAAAACAATCTTAATTAGTAAATGATAGAACATTTTAGATTAATTTTGGATTGATAAAAGTTGGTGTGTCTACTTTAGAAACATTTTAGCTTATTATTTAAATCTATCCTGCCAGGTCTCTGTAATGGTTTATGAAAATGACCTTGGGAGACAGAGAGAAGAGATGCAGTCAGGGAATGGTCAGGTAAATGACAACTGAGACTGCAACAGTAATATAAGCTGGGCAAGAAACTCAGAAGAGACTGTTCTAGTTACTTGGGTTGTAAAAGACGGGAAAAGATGTATATTCAGATTTGCAAGATTATGTTAATTTAAGCATACAATAAAATAGAATTTGTTCATCTGATATATCTTTGAGTGGGTAACATTATTAAATAGGCTTAACTTACAGGAGAGTGAGCCCATTTTGTTAAAAATATTAATTTCAACAGAGAAAAAAATAAACATTTTATTAATAAAACAGCATGGTTAGATAATCTAAAAATAAAGACTAGTTATTAATAAAATAGCCTAATGCATGTAAAGTGCAAATACAGTGATATCCTAAATAGCTCTATGAGCTCTTGAATTACCATATTTTTCAGACTATAAGATGCTCCGGACTATAAATCCACATTAGCTTCAGAGGAGGAAAACGAGAAAAAATCTGCTCGGTTCTTCACCGCCAGTTCACCACCGCTGTGGCCCGTTTGCTGCAGCCTGTTCACTGCAATCGGTGAATATCCGCTGCCTAGAACAGCTCATCGGTGCCGCACACACACCCTTCCTCCCCCCCCCCGGCTGCTATATTTGTTCTATAATACACACTATTTCCACCCACTTTTGGGGGTGGGGAAGTGCGTCTTATAGTCCGAAAAATAAGGTAGGTAGGATTGTTGGGGCCACTTTTTGGTATCCAGAATGGTACCTTATAGTTAAGTACAAGTAGTCCTCATTTACTGACTGCAATTAGGATTGGCAATTCTGTTGCTAAGCAACATGGTCATAAAGTGAATCGCCACTGACCACGTTTTCCTTATGACAATTGCTCTGGTTGTGATTGTTAAGTGCAGTATTTCATAACCATGCAAATTCCGGTTGGAAATTAGTTAAGTCTGCAGAGTATTTATGGGACATAAACAGTCAGGCATAGAGTGTCTAGGGGCAAGTTTTACTCTGCTTTTTGGGGGGGAGCAGTTTTACTCTGCTTTTTTGTACTGTAATTTTGAATAAGTTTTTAAAGGTTCTGTACTTTAAACAATAGCAAAAAATTGCACCCAAGGTGCAAAGATCTCTGAATGTTTCCTTCTATTTTCCTCTGTCATTTTCAACGTTAGAGATTCTTATCTTGCTCTTGTAAAAGAGAGCAAAATAGGTGGGAGAAACACAAGAGAGAAAAGACTGAGGGGGTATCTTACTCTATTTCTCTAACATTCATACATTGCCTGGGGAAGAAGGATGTGCACGTAAATGGGAAAAATCACTGAAATAAAATACATAATTGATTTAATATTCCTTTATTGGTTTTTCTCACAATCACATTTGCGCCTCAATAAAAATCTATATTTTGTATTTTGTTTTGTTTGCAGAATGTTTATTCCTGAGCTCTGTTAAATTGTATCATACAAAACATACGACAAAGTAAACTTATCAAAACAACTCAGTTAAGCAATGTTTATGGATTTAAGGTTGTTGTTGCAATGTTAACACTGCAAAGGACAGAGAGCAAGTTGTAGCTAAATATAGAGGTAGAAAGCTAGTCACAGCTTTGTTTTGTACAAAACGTTATATAATACCTTTACCAGTGCTATAGCTATTACAGCCATTTTTTTCTGAATTCCAAGACCATTAGAAGTACCATGTTTGTTTCAATTGCAAGATTAATAATATGGAAATAAAATTCAGTTTTCCTTACTTACATATATGTTAATAGGTATATATAATGCTTGCATTTTGTTCCTTAAATAATCAGTTCTAACATTTATTTGCCGATAGTAGTATTCTGTAGATGATAGAATGAAGTTTTCATGTAATATGCTATAGTATCCGGACACTTGGGTATAGGTGCTCATGCTCACCCCAAAATCTTATTAATAGGTCAACCTGTTGTATGAATGGAAGATTAAATAGTGGAAACATTCATTATAGCTGTACTATTTCTCATCAACTGATATGCTTTTGTTTACATAGAAGAAAACCACTTAATTGTGAGACAACCTCACAGCATTCTAGAATGTTTCTCAACTCTGATTTAGTCCTCAGCTGTTTCAATTTACTGGGTATATTAATGGAATAATTCATTAAACAAAGTTTTATGGGTTATATTGATCCTGTGAGATTGAAGAATTAATTATATACATTTTTTGAAAAGTTTTATGGCCTGTTACGCAATATATCGTAAGTTAAAGAATAATTTAAGTATCCGAATTGGTAGAATTACGGATATGGAGTATGCCTTGCATTCAAATTAGCATTGAGCAGAATACTGATACACAACAATTTGGTGAGCATATACAGACATTGCTCGACCTACAACAGTTCGTTTAGTGACCGCTCAAATTTACAATGGCATTGAAAAAAGTAACTAATGACCAGTTTACTTGTGACCATAGTCACATGATCAAAATTCAGCCGCTTGGCAACTGACTCATATTTATGACGGTTGCAGAGACCTAGGGCCATGTGATCACCTTTTGCAACCTTAATGGGGAAGCCAGATTCATTTAATCGTGTTCCTAACTTAACTGCAGTGATTCACTTTACAATTGTTGTAAGAAACGTTGCAAAGTGAGGCAAAACTCACTTAACTGTCTTGCTTAGCAACAGAAATTTAGGGCTCAAAGTTGCAAAGTTGACTTGCTTCTGAGTTATGTTTTTTAGGATCATTCTTCCCATTGGTATAATTTAATTCACAAAGTTAAAAATCATTCTGATGTGTTTTTAAAAGAATACACCTCACTTTTGGCCTACAACAAATGTGGGAAAGAACTTTAGGAAAACCAATTCAGCTGAACTGAAGTTATTTAAAAAGGCAACATTTCATACCATCCAATGATGTTACTTGGTTTCTGCCTTTGCATGCATGTGTATGTATAACAAACACACACACATACATACATAAACAGAATGATGAAATCAAATACCCATTTCCATTCTGCTACTATTCTAGGATCAAGGGGGCTCAGCGACTAAGACCCTGAGCTTGTCAATCAAAAGGTTGGCAGTTCAGCGGTTCGTATCCCTACTGCCGCGTAACGGGGTGACCTGCTGCCAACCTAGCAGTTCGAAAGCATGTAAAAAATGCAAGTAGAAAAATAGGGACCACCTTTGGTGGGAAGGTAACAATGTTCTGTGTACCTTTGGCCTTTAGTCTTGCTGGCCACATGACCACGGAGACATCTTCGGACAGTGCTGGCTCTTCGGCTTTGAAACGGTGATGAGCACCACCCCCTTGAGTCAGCAACGACTAGCACATATGTGCAAGGGGAACCTTTACCTTACTATTCAAGTCTTAAAGTTGATTAAAATGGGAATGAATCCCTTCGTTATAATTCATGCTAAAACAGGACTATGCTATACCCAATTCCTCAGGGGCAAATTTGTACCAGAACTGGAAACAGAACACTTGTTTATCATTTACCCATGATCTACAGCAAGGGTCCCAATAGGAACGGGACCACGCAAGCAGTGGGCAAGTGAGTGAAGCTTCATCTGCACGGGATCTCGGTTGCGCGCGAAACCATCCATCCCCCCCAGTTCATGGAAAAATAATCTTCCATGAAACCAGTCCCTGGTGCCAGAAAGATTGGGGACCGCTTGATCTACAGTAATAATTGTAACTTTGTGAATGGACCAAAATTTCAGTCCTTATAATGCTCAAATAATTCAAGAGTAGTACATATGTCTGAGCATTATAAAGGGAGAACATGGTAATGATAAAGATAGCCATGTTTATGATTTCTTAAAATGATAAATTTGCATAGAGAAGCTTCCAAAGTCAACCAATTAAACTAAATAATGAATCCTGATAGCCAATATGTATATTAAACCTGTGCACACTTCAAAAATGATTTTAGTCTTTCACATCTCAATACCATTCTGTTCTTTAAAGCAACACACCTTTTTTCAGGCTTTCATGACAGCATGAAAAATGTTTCCGTAAACGTTTGTGTTAATTTTATTGAGTGTGATTCTTAAACCAGCAGCATCTTCCAGGATGCTAGTAGACCTAATGCACATTAATATTATGTTAAGATTAATAATATTAACTCAACATACTGTATTTTTCAGAGTATAAGATGCACCAGAGTATAAGACGCAGCTTAGTTTTTGGGGAGGAAAATAGGGGGAAAAAATCTGCCTACCAGGTATTCATCTGGCCAGTGTCCTTAGGCTTGGGGTATCCCCTGCTTGGGGATAAAAAACAGCTTCTAAAGCACAACTGATCTTTGGAGAGAAAAGCAATGAGAAAAGCAGGCAAATCATGGAGATAGCTTCACTCGCTAGCGCCTCTTTAGGGACCGCTTCACTTGCTAGTGCCTAGTTATGGCTGAAAAAAAGCTTCATTCAGAGTATAAGATTTTCAGCCTCTTTTAGGAGGGAAAAAAGTGTGTCTTATATTCCGAAAAATACGGGTTGTTATTTCCAGGCATTCTAGAGTTACGAGGGGTCCTTGATGCTCTCCGAGTTAGGTTGTTTTTTTGCAGACATTTCATTATCCAAACTAGGTAACCATGACTAGCATTGATGTTACCTAATTTGGGTAATGAAACATCTGCAAGAAAACAACCAAACTCAGAGAGCATCAAGGACCCCTCATTTCAATCCTGATTACAAATACTCTCCTTTATTGGGTCTCCAAAGTTAAAATTCTACATAAAAATTTGAGAAGAAAAGTGAGTTTTCATTACATAATTAAGTATGGTATTTGAACAAATGTTTCTTTTAGGACTTATATAGTTTGCATTTTGAATTATTACAAAGATTGATTCACTATATTGACTTCTGAATTTGGACCCAAGTAGCTGATACTACTGAACCAATACAACTTTGCTGTATAGACTTAAGTGACTTGGATTTTATTCCACCTGTTGACTATTAATGTCTGTGAACTGCTGGAGTTTGGAACAAGTGCCTTTCAAACATTCATTTTGAAAATGTCTTAGTACAAATAAATCACAAGGAGCTTTACTTTAACAGAGAATCTAATAGTAGGCTTATTTTCAGCATTTCTACTCGACTCTGGTCATTAAATACTGAAAACACATCTTTATAAGGTTATGAAACAAATCATTTACTTTTTAAAAAAAGTTAGGCAAAAAGTATAGACATAATTACAAATGTTAAAAAACTGGCATTGCTCCAGTATTCTGTGCAAGACAAATGGCATCAGAGACAAATTATGCACCAAGTTAGAGAAAAGCCACTCTGTTCGTAATTTTGTAAAAATCGTATGTGAAGGTTATTATCCATTCCAAACAGCTGAGAAGTAATAGCCATCTTTTTTTCTTAATCAGTGTATTGCAAATCCCCTTATTTATTGCTTTAAATGAAACCCTCTTGTGTTAAGTTCTAGTTTTCCTTTTATCTTCAAAAAGACTCTTCAACATGTACACCTGAACAGCTGACACTATAATCATTACTGCCAGGTTGACCATGGACCAGAAGTTTACCCTGTCATAATTGCTTTCTTGTATATTTCTATCACGAGCTTCAAATGCTTTGAGCAGGTTTTGAATCTGAATACTTTTGCCAAGTCGAGCCTTCACACTGTTGACAGATTCCTAGTAAAAAAACACAAACAACCAAAGTTTTAAAACCAAATATTTTTAAAGAAAAAAATAGAACAAAGACAAATCTGAAAATTACTCCTAGTGTTGACACTGTGAGATCATGCTCCATCCCTCCTTTCCGTAGGCCATTGTTCCTAGCTCCAATGTTCTGGTCAAGAAATCTTTTATTCACATAGGCAGCTGAAAGGGCTCTTTTCATATACTATATACCGGTACTACTAAAATATTGGAAGACCACAAATCATGCTCTTTCAGCCAGAGATATTCAGCTAAAAATTCCTTTGATCTCAATGTTCTCTAAGATGAATATATTTTTTTAAAAAAAAATTAGCACTCACAATACTCCAGCTCTGAGTATCAGAATACTCTGATACTCCAGCTTTATGTTTGTAAATACAGGTAGTCCTCGACTTATGACCCCCAATTGAACCCAAAATTTATGTTGCTAAGTGAGAAATTAGTTAAATGAGTTTTGCCCCAATTTATGATTTTTCTTGCCACATTTGTTAAGTGAATCACTGTAGTTGTTAGTAACATGGTTGTTAAGTGAATCAGGCTTCCTCATTGACTTTGCTTGTCAGAAGGTTGCAAAGGATGATCACATGAACTCAGGACACTACAACCATCATAAATATGAACCAGTTGTCAAACATCTGAATGTAAATCACATGACTGTAGGGATGCTGCAACAGTCATAAGTGTGAAAAATGACCATAAGTCACTTTTTTCAGTGTCGTCATACCTTCGGTCACTAAATGAACTGATGTAAGTCGAGGACTACTTGTATACTATTCCAGTGTTGCTATTCCAAGCACGTAAACCCTCTTTATCTCATTCTTCCATCACAGAGAAAAACAGAAGTTTTCAAAACATTCTGAATTTGAAACATTTTGAATCCTAATAAAAAATGCCAACACTGTGTGTATTACATGAAAATGTTAATGTAATCAATAGGGATAGATGTACAATAGCTGCTCCAATTTTGATTCAGTGAAAAAGAGAACAAACACATTTTAAGTACCAGCAGTCATACATTCCATAAGAGCTGGCTATGTTACATACCAGAATATCTTCTAACTTCATATCCAGAAGCTCTGTTCCTGTTGCATATTTTTCCCAATCTTCTTCTTCTTCTCCCATGTTATCTAAGATCAGTTCAAAGAAAATCACTTTCTCTGATAGGGTGCTAAATGTGTTGTCAAAGCAGAACATGTAATCACCTTCCTCTGTCTCCACTCTGTTAACATAAGACATTGCACTTTAATACACTGTATAGGCAGTTATATTCCTTTCAAATCCCCTAATGACAGTACTCTGAAACTTTAAAAGGATACAGGTAATGTTACATCTTCTAAACTGCTGCAGCACCTTGGGTCACTGGAAATTTGCAGGGATGCTGTGCAATACTTTAAATTGTTGAGGAAAAGAGCAATACTTAACATCTGTTGGACATTGGCTTAATATTGCTGTTTCCGTCAAAAATTTAAAATATCCCATAGTATCTTTGTGAGTTCACCATTTGTTTTAAGCCATGGTTCCCAAACTGTGTCATATCACAGCATGCCATGAAAGAATTATAGAAACACTAAAGACACTGAAGCAAAAATACTTTGGAAACTTCAAACTTAGCATATTTCAGCTGCAGAAAGACAAGATTTTAAGTAATCTCTCTTTCCATAGCAGTTCCCTATACCTTGTTTCATATCTTTCAAAAAGATCTCGCCAGCTTTTAGACGATTTGGGGGAAGGAGGGATGAACACCAAGGATTGTTCAACCCTTCTGTGAATTTTCTTTTTCAAAACTCAGGATCTGCCAAGTGAGTCTTTTATCATTTTTAAACTTACGTGTGGACACCATCTGATTTTCTCTGTTCAAAAACTATGGTTTCATGTTTTGGAGATACGAGGTGAAAATCCACATCTAAACCTGCTCCGTCTAGTACCTAAGAACGCAACAAAGATAGAAATTAAACCAGTACTCATCAACTTAAGAAATTGGCAAACAAGGTTTTTATAAACCGGTCTTAAAGTGAACAAAGTGATATAACTCTGTGAACCGGACTTGGAAGCTACTGGGGACATCTAATTTATATAGCAGGGAGAACTGCAGATATAGATAATAGTATATCAAAATATTGTTTATTTATTCTATTATCTAATCTATTATTTAATAGATTAGATAAACATGGCCCAAGATTTTGTGAAAGCAACAGCATTTTTAATCTAGCATTTACTTGTTCTTCACCTTATGAAGAATAATAGCAGCATTCTTCTTTATAAAAAAAACCCTGTCATTACACAAAGATATTCCATAATTGGCAACTATGCCACCCATGGCACTTAGCACCTTCTGTTTGTATAACCCAAGTCACCTTGAGATGGACAGCATATAAATTTTATATACACACATATAACCTCTCCTTCCCAATAATGAAAAGGAAATTCAAAAGAATACTAATATGGAGAGGAAATTTGAAATTAACTTTCTAGTAACCTTGAGTAGAATTGATCTACAAATTCTACAAATTCATTTGTTTTCTCATTAATAAATCATGCTCCATAAAATACAGAATAGGACAACAGCACACATAAGCAATAACCAACAGATAGTTCCATGCCACTGGAGAAGAAACTGCTCATATCCAATGTAGTCAAATTTTCATTTAATCTATTCATCTCAGTCAGTACATTTTAGGCTTATTTGGCTTTCACGATCTAAGTACGCTGCAGAATTTTGTTATGTAGACTTGTCAGTCCAAGCATCTAAAAACCAGCTTGATCAAGCTGGGTCACTGATATTTAGCTAGTCTGTTTGCTCTGTAAAACAAACACGAACTACTACATTCCCTGAACCTAGACTAGCCATAGTGTCGACATGCATGACTCTCAGTTTCCTAGGAAGCATGGCCAATAGGTTAACTAGAAGAAATGATGGCACGTGTAACGTATTCATCTGGAATGTACCAAGTTGTGGAAGGCTAGATGATGGCCAGAGATGTGAATGCTTCGTTCTTTAAAATTTTGATACTGTGAATAATTTTTCCAAAGAACCTGAAGGCATAAGACAAGGAATAATGGATGGAAACTGATCAAGGAGAGATTCACCCTAGAAATAAGAAGAAATATTCTGACAGTGAGAACAATCAACCAATGGAACAGCTTGCCTTCAGAAGTTGTGGGAGCTTCATCACTGGAAATTTTCAATAAGAGACTGGGCTGACATCTGTCAGAAACAGTTTCCTGCTTGGGTGGCGGGTGGGAGGGTGGGTTGGACTAGATGACCTACAAGATCCCTTCCAACTCTTATTCTATTCTGTTATATAATAAAGACGAACAGGTCCCAAACATTTGACTTGCAACTTTTAAATTAAATCCAAGACAAAAACAGAGAACCTGGCAAAAATGATTATCTTCACATGATCACATTGCATTACTGCAGTATTAATACAAGGTTTGTGCCCTGCCTATCGCCATGTGAATCTGGGCACAGTGACCAAATACTTTGCGTCACTTCTTTCTGGAGCTGAAAATAAGCGTGCAAGTGTAAGAGGAAACCACAGATTTGAACTTTTTCCAGGGCAGTGTCTTTGAAGCGCATACTTCCTCTTTAGCAGGGGATCTTTTCCTTCTGCGGGTTGAATCAAAAGTTTGCTCTCTTGGCTTCTTGGATGTCTCTACCGATTCTTGGAGAAACTCGGGCACTGAACTTCAAGCTGGGCACCGAGGCGCCTATATAAAACACACCAAGCTGCCCCCTCACCCCCTCCTTTTGCTACCACGATTTCATATATTAGGCGATCCCCGATCTTCCCACCACCTTCCCTCCTCACCTGGAACTCGATCTCCAACGTGGCCTCCTTCTTCATGGTCTGGAAGAAGCACTCCTTCCGGCCGGCGGGTAACGTGAAGGTGAAGTCGCTGTCTAGAGAAGCAACAAACCCCAAAACTCTAGGCGGCGGGGGAAGCAGCAGCAGCAGCAGCAACGGGACGAAGACTAGCAAACGCTGCCCGGTCGCCGTCCTCATCCTCAAAAGCTCCGCAAACGGGGCAAGTCAGGAAACCGCAAGCCGCAGATCGCAACTCGCGCCACCTCTAACGAGGGCTAGTCTCACACGCGTCGGGGCGTGCAGGGGTAGGACGGTGGGGGGGGGGGGGGGGTTAATAAGAGAAAGAATACCCACAATACACAGCCCGAGGAGGCGGGTTGCGTTAAGAAAGACACGCCCCTTTTTAAAACGTCGGTGGATCTCTTAAAAAGGAGTTGCTTTTTAAGGCCCGGGTTTGCAAGGCACGGTGGGGAATGTAGTCCCAATGAGAGCGGGGAGCGGTAAGAAGGAGAGCCGCAGGACTACCACTCCCGAGGGCGCGAGGAGCCGAGGCAACGAACCAATAGACGGCGACCTCTTCCTTTTAAGCGTCTTCTATTCGCGGACTTTTTTTTTTTTTTTAAACCTTCGATCCTGCGCGGTTAGAACGAGTTGTTCCCAGCGCCCGCGAATTGAAAAGCAAAAGTAAAGCGCTACGCAGACTTGTATATAAAACGCGGAGGGGGTGGGGGTGGGGTAAAAATGGGAATTTCGCAGGAGCGTCAATTCGAGCCTATCTAAAGGCGGGTTACTTCGGTGACGTTCCCAACTGTCAATCCGAGGGGGGGGGGCCTTTGGAACTCTTTTTTTTATATTTGGGACAGTGTAACGCGGTTCTTAAGAGAGTTCAATGGAGGCACGAGGAGTGCTCACTGTAGGGGGGGGGGGGGGGAGAAAGGAGAGTTGCTAAGCAACGGAAAGCTTGTGGCCTGGAACCCGCGTGGTCAAGGCGGTTCAGGACCTGAGGGAGAGAAGGTGGCGGTGCCTCTGAAGGGGGGAGCGATATATTTATTCGTTTTATTTATTTTCACATTTTTTCTGAACCGCCCATTTCTCCGACGGTTATTCTTTTGGGGACCCGGAGCACTGAGAGAAAACATGAAATTACATAGAGGTGAGGGAGGAATATTAGCCGAGAATGAAGACGAGGCGGTGGAGAAGCCTTTCTGAGGAAACAAACCCCATTGCAGTGCGATAGGAAGGATAATTGGATCTGGTTCAGATTGTGTTTGTGTTAGATCGAGTTAGAGCAGTGTTTCTTAAGGGTTTTTTTTCTCTCTCACGACCCTTTCTCGGTTTTTTTTAAAAAAAGCCCAAAATTGTTTTTATGGTTTATATTTATCAGTATTTGCCATATTAACAATTAAAATGGATGCATTAATAGTATATTTATTGAGTCGTGTAAAAATATTAAGCCGGTTAGATGTTAACAAATAAAATAGGAAAAATCCTGGTTTTTTTAAACAAACAAATAATAGGAAGAGTATGATGGTTTTAAATTTTTGTAAATATCCTGTGTCTGGCAAATAATTTTGATTTCAAGGACCCCTGAAAGGGTCTTGGAGATTCCTAGGAGTCCTAGGACTATATAGGAACACTGAGCTAGAGGAATTAGTAACAGCTTCAGGATATTTTTATGATAATTTTACTACATTTTTAAAATAGAAATATAAAAACTAACATGAACTAATAATGAAAATATAAAAGAGTAAAGAGAGAATAAAACCAAGAGTGCAGAAAGAGAAAAAGAATGCAAAGAAATGATTTCTGAAGAAGTGATTTATGACAATTTTTCAGTTACAATTGTTGTAGTCTCCATGGTCATGTGATCAAAATTCAGATGTTTGGCAACTGACTCATATTTATGACAGTCACAGTGTCCCGGAGTAATGTGACCACCTTTTACTAACTTTTGCCAACCAAAGTCAATGGGGGAGCTAGATTCACTTAACAACTGTTACTAACTTAATAACTGCAGTGATTCACTTAATAAGTGTGACAAGAAAGGTGGTAAGATGAGTTTGGCTTTTTTACATGTCCGCCAAGCATGATAAAAAGTCCCTTGTTCACATTTTTAGCATAAATTTGAAGTACATCTATACGTTTTAGACAATTTTTCCAGTGACAAATACCAACATCATTTTTTAAAATTTCTCTTTAAATATAACATAATGTGAATTTCAGTCCTTTCATCCACATATTCTTGCATTGTTTCTTTGTATATTATAACCAAACATTTGTCCCATTTTATCATAAATTACTTTTTTCTTGTTTCAAATTTTAACAAAATGTTGTATATGTTCATCAATTTGCACACAGTTCTGAAAACAGGTTAATTCAGTATTGAGTTAAATAATGTTAACATCATTCACATGTATAAGAGTGTGACATCAATAGTATAAGTACATATTAAAATGAGTGATGTCTACCATTCAGAAAACCTAACCCAGTTAAAACTACTGCAATTTTGAAGAACTTTCAAAGGAAAAAGTGGATTCAATTATAAAAAAGTTATTCAGTAATACCAGATAACAAATAATGTATTTAAATAATATTTAAGTTGCCTTCCTAATAAAGAGATCTTAATAAAGCTGAATATGTACTGTAAGTATCAAACTAAACTTAATTCTTCTAGAGAGCTACCTCATCTAGGCTGAAATTGACTTGTATTTCCTTCAGTGGTCTAATCACTGATTAGGAACATCTTGTCTGGATTAAAGCTCAATTTAGCTATCATCCAGTCCATCACTACCACGAGTCCCAGATTCAGTACATTAGCATCAAGTACCTTGTTGAGTCTCCTAATGAAGATTTAGAATGAACCCTGAAGATACAGATGTATCTATGGAATTCTTACATACATCTGTATCTATGGAATATTAATGTACTAACATGAAGGAGTATAGCATTATAAACAGCATTATCTTGAAAACAACCTCCATGGCATTCAAATCAGTACAGTATAGGTCCTGTGTTGGTTGGATTTCTGTTAACTAGAATATGTGAATTATGCACCCTTTGTATTTATGCAGGGCACTTTCTCCTAGTTATTACCTTCTATTCATCATTGGGTATTATTATTCAACTTACCGTATTCCTATAAATTAAAAATGACCATAAATTGAAGTTTGTTTCCAAACAACTAATTTTTGATAGTTATTAATGTTAAACAGTAGTATGAAAGTGGCTGAATGTATTTGTGCAGCTAGAGTTAACATATTGCTTTCTGTTTTGATGAGAATTAAATAGCATTTTTTCAAAGTGAAAGGTGGTTATATTACTATTCTCTTATTAGTTATTTATTTCAGACAAATGAATATAAATGGAACCTAACTCTTCAGCTTCCAGTGACCAACAGGAAGATGTGGAAGATTTGCTTGCTAACATTGTAGCATTAAGAGGTCATCTAAAGAAAACAGAAAAAAAATTACAAGACTTGGGAGAACAGCTTTATAGGTATAACTGTATGGAACTAAAGTTACTGGTACTAATATGCTTATTTACATTGTGTTTATATTCTAACTTCGAGATTTTCTGTCAGAATAATTAGTATAAAAAATTGAAATAATATGCTTCTTTTATTTTTGTTTTTCCAGTAATTCACATAATTCTGAACTTGGCGTTCATGATAGTGAGCTTGAAATTTTAACACTGGAAGATCTGGTTGATCCTTCTGAATTACAGAATAATACTGTGAGCAAAATGTCTTGGCATAACAGTGATTCTTCAAGGAAACCCAAGAACAAAGTAATTATTTGAGAATTTGCTCATTTCTAGCAGTATGCCTACATTACCTTTGGTTTATCCCAAATCCTGATACTGTTGATCCTAAAAATTAAAAATGAACAACATTTGTACTTATTACAAATGCTTTTTTTTTAGTCATATTCACTGGCTTTTGATAAGAACATGGAAGAGGAAAATGAACTTCTAAGGGACAAACTGAATGTAGTCCGTGAAAACAATGCTTCATTAATTTCTCAGAACCACAAACTAATGAATGAAATTGAAACGATAAAGTTTGAACTGAACCAGGCAAGAGCACAAGTAGGTATCTTAAAAAGCATGTTTATTACCTGTTATATTGTTAATTATACCCTATAATATTCTCCTTTATGTTGAATTGTAATGTGTAATGTTTTTATGTTACCACTTATGAATATTTAGCTGCATTTTTTAATATTAACCTTGGCTCAGATTTGGAGGAGTGAATTTTAAAGTGGCATAATGATGTATCCTTATTAAAACCATTGTTCCATATTACATAAAGAAAAAAGCTACTTGATGTGTCTCACACATTACATTTTAAGCGCCACAGCAATATTAGATCACCAAAAATCAGTCCTAATCTTGCAAGATTTTATAGCCTTGTTATATATGCTATAATTGTCAATGTTTAACTATATCGTTAAGTGAAAAAAAACAAATGGTCTTCATAGAATATTATTATTTCTATTGTTTAATTGACTAACTTAAAGTATGCTATGTGCAGATTAATATTGGAAATTAGTAAAGAAATACTCTATTTATATTGGTAATTATTGAAATTATTTGCCTACTGGAAGTAGCAAAAAATTAGATCGAAAAAAGAAGTTTGTAATCAAATAAGTGTAAAAAAACTCTGTTAAAAAAAACAATAATGGATTCTTCCTTTTTACCTTATTTTTCTAGATATCTTTCCTGGAATCTACTTTGGGTACACGTTCAGTCCATATTCCAATATTAGAAGAACAGATAGCAAACTTGGAAGCAGATGTTCAAGCTCAGAATAGACTTCTAAAGTAATTATTGTTTAAATTAATTTTTCTAATTTGCAATGTTGGTTCATTCACTATTTTCCACTTGGAGCTTGGTTCACTCATTTCATATTGAGATGAATGTTTATATGCTGTATCAAATTGGGGTTTCCTTTCTGAAAATAAGGTGTGCTCTAGGCCCTCCAGTTTTGGGAATTCTTTATCTCATCTTTATCTCTTGTTCTGAATGGAGTTGCACTACCCCAAATAGAGCCAGAGCGAATTTGGAGATCCTCCTAAACTTATAGCTCCTGTTTGAGGACCAGATAGCAACTGTGACCAGGTCAGTTTTTGCAGAGCTTTGTGTTATGTGCTAGTTTCACCCTTTCCTTCAGTGGGAGTCTCTGCGCACTCTCAATCATAGCTTGGTCATCTTCTGAATAGACTATTCTATAGTCCATTGGAATCTGTTAATTAGCATTCTTGAGATATTTGTATTGTATCTGTATTGATGGGTTTGTCTGTTTTCTTATTTTAA